TTTCAAAACAAATATCTGATAAAGGAGTGGTACCCAAAATATACAAAGATCTCTTACAACAATAAGAAAACGAGTAACTCGATCAAAATAAATGGGCAAATTATGTGCACATCTCACCAAAGGAGACATGCAGATGGCAAACAAACATATAAAAAGATGCTCAAAATCGTATACCATTAGGGAATTGCAAGTTAAAACAACAATGATATACTACTACATACCTATTAAAATGGCTAAAATCCCAAATACTTACAACAGCAAATTCTGGTTAGGATATGGCTATATAAACCATCATCTACTTTTGGCGGGAATGCTTGATTTTACAGCCATGCTAGAATATACTTTGGCAGCTTCTTATAGAGCTAATCATAAGATACAGCAATTACCATCTTGATATTTATTCCAATGAGCTCAAAACTTATGTCCACACAAAAACCTGCTCATTAGTGTTTATAGCAGTATTATACGTGACAGACAAAACTTGGAAGCACCCAAGATGTCTTTCAATAGGTGAACAGGTATACAAATTGTGGTATATCTATACAATGTATATTAGTTTCCTACAGCTGCTATAAGAAAGTATTACAAATTGGATTGCTTCAACAACAGAAATTAATAATCACACAGTTCTGGAGGCTAAAAATCTGAAAGCAAGGGATAAATAGGATTGGTTCCTTCCAGGAGTGTGAGGAAAAATCTGTTCCGTGTCTGTGTACTAGCTGGTGGAATGCTGGTAATCTTTTGCCTTCATTGGGTTATGGCAGCATAACTCCGATCTTCACATGGCATTTTCCCTGTGTCTCTGTCTCTGTCAAAATTTTTCTTTTTGATAAGGATACAGTCATATTGGATCATGGCCTACTTTAATGACCTCATTGTAACTTGATCATCTGCAAAGACTCTATTTCCAAATAAGGTCACATTCACAGGGGTCAGGACTTCTGTATTTTTTTGTAGAGAGGGCACATTTCAACACATACCATAAAGAAATACTGTTAAAATATTCCATTATTCCAGCAACAAAAAGAAATGAGATAGCTAGTCATTAAGAGACATGGAGGAAACTTAAAATGCATATTGCTAAATGAAAGAAGCCAATCTGGAAAAGCTGTATACTGTATAATTCCAACTATATGACATTCTTTTTTTAAATTAAATTTATAGGGGTGATATTGGTTATGACATTCTTGAAGAGCAAAAATAGGGAGACAGTGAAAAGATCAGTGGTTGCCAGAAATTTAGGGGGATAGGAGAGGTGACTAGGTGGAGCACAGGTGATTTTTAGAGCAGTGAAGCTATAATGTATGATACTGTAGTGGCGGATACATGTCATTATACATTTGTCAAAAACCATAGGACACACAAAGAGTAAATTCTAATGCCAACTATGGACTTCAGTTAACAATATTGTATCAGTATTGACTCATCAATTATAACAAATGTACCACACAAAAGCAAGACATTAATAAGGGGAAAACTGAGTGTTATGGGTGGGGATGAGGAGTATATAGGAACTCTCTATATTTTCTGCTTAATTTTTCTGTAAACCTAAAGCTTCTTTAAAAAATAAACACTATTAATTTACTTGAAACAAAGGTTCTTGTGGGCAGATAGCTCCATTAACTTGAGTGGTCAGGAAGGACTACAGGCAGCCTTTAAATGTCGCCAAGATGGTTCCCTTGTGAGACTCAGAGAACATTTCTAGCAGAAGGAACAGCTGGACAGCTGGAACCGAAGATCTCCAGGGGAGACAAGTTGAGGGCGTGAAAAACATATAAGTAGCGGTGGGAGAGGGGAATGCAGTAGAACAAGGTGGGCAGGGACTGGGGTAAATGGGGCTTTTTTTTTTTTTTAATAGTGTATAGTTTGGATTTTATTCTGAGTGTGATATGAAACCATTCATAGGGAAGTATTAGGATATAACCTATGTTTTTAAAATAGCACTCTGGCTGTTGGTTACAGAGAATAAATTGTGTATGGAGGTGACATTGGAAGCAGGGAGATTAGTTAGAAGGATATTGCAATGGTCCACGCTAGAGGTGATGATAGTTTGGACTAAGGTGCGGCAGTAGATGTGGAGATAAGAGGATCGATTTGGGGTATGCTCATAAAAGTAATGGAAGAGAGAATTTCTCACTCTGTCAATCATCTATGACTCAGCCATGAATCTGGAAACATGTGGAAATGTCAAATTGGTTATAAGCTGAAATTCATGCCCTTTGCCATTCACATCCTTTTTCCATGGAATGAAAACTCATCAGACTAAATATTGCTTTTAAAAAATGGGCCTTGTAAAATTACACATGATATTTGCTTTTCATAATGTTTATTGCACTAGAATCTGATTTGTATCTAAAACTCATTTAATATAGGCTTATTTTAAACTGTTTTACTTTCCTTTCACTTTCTCTGAAAATTTTTAATTACTGGAGGTGGGAAGAAAGTATCTCCTTTAGTAAAGAGAGACATTAATAAAACTGAGCAACTTTGTGTCTATAGCAACTGCAAATTAAAACACACATGTTTCTATTATTTAGATTGAGCAAATCACAGCTAAAATGTAGGCAGCAATGATGGGGAGTTGTTGAATATGTTGACATCACATTGATAGCTACCAATCACAATCTGGAAAGGAAAAGACATGAGTTTCATTTTTTTTTTTAACTATTCTTAATATTGGCTGAGAGTAACAAATGTGTCAATTTTTGCATCAATATTTTAAGGTGGATGGCAAAAAATTAGAAAGCAAAGAACCACCACAGTTGATTTATTTTTTTTAAATATGATAAATTAACAAAATTGGTACTATTCATTTCTAAAAAAAAAAAAAAAATCTCAAAATAAATAACTTTAAATAAATTAAGGAAAATGACTATAGTTTTTGAAATGTTACTATGAAAAGGAACTGTTTCATAGGGGAGAACTCAGAGGTGCTCAGGTCAATAGTCAAATGAACAAGAATGTCAGGGTAGCTAACAAATACTTTTTAAAAAATGCTATAATAGGGTGGGATATTTGAATTTTACACTTTTGGATTAATTAAGTCAGATTTTTCACTTAGAAAAATACACCTGATTCTTTAAAAACATTATTAGGATTACGTTTTCTTGATAAAGACGACATAGTATTTATGGAACTGTTATTCACAGCATGGGACATCATTCATTTTTCTAGTCCATTCAAAGATACTTACACTTAGATCCTCAATCCTTTTGCTACTTACATTTATGAAGAGTGAAATAGTGGTTATAGAATGAACCACATTATCTCCTTTATTCATTTTTTGGCAAAGTCTTCATCCAATTTTGAAATTTCACTATTTGCAAGTACGTTATTTTCTTTGTATAGAATAGATCTAATGTTTACACATGAGAAATGCTTTTTACTCTCAGTTTCATGAAACATTTTTCAGCTGTAAGTTTCATAAACACAACATTGTTAAATACATCATGTCTTAATAGAAAGGAAAAGGTGGATGTGTGATATTTTTTGTTACAACCCCATAATCATTTTAAACTTCAAGTTCTTACCAATAAGACAGTTATAAATAATTAAACAATATTTACAAGATTGACATTGCTCTGTTTCAATAATTTTCAATTCGAAGTTTGCAAGGAATTGGCATTTTCACCTTACATACTAAGACTCTTTCTAGTATTTAAACACTGGAAAAAGACTAAAATCTTTAAAATGAGAAATACATCTATGTGTTTCTTAATAAAATATTAAGGATGCAAGCTATTGTAATAATGTAAAAAAAAGTCAAGCCTCTATTAGGTAGTTACAATAGTTATATTAATTGGAATATTTTTATATTTATTAATTTTTTTTGCTTAAGAGTTTTATGAGTTGCCTAAATAGGAGAAATTAAATTATCTATTTTCTTTGATCAGTTTCTGTCATTTGTGATAGGTCCTCACTTTCAAATGGAGCATTGTGGGAGACAGGAGAAAACTGGGGGGAGGACTGAGAGAATTAACCTTGCAATTAATTCCAGTGACAAGGCAACAGAGGGAAAGGAGGCGGATCCTTAATCTTCCCCGCAGCACAGACGGAGTGAGCTGGGGTGAGAGGGATCACAGAACACCATTAGGTTAGCTGCGGGGCGGAGGGGAGGGCATACCGTCCTCTGAGTCTGGAAAGGCTTCTTTCTCTTTTTAGAGCACCTTTCTGCACACGTCTTATATTAGCGCAGCTCGCTCCCTGGTGGCTTGATTTACAGCAAATAATACAATGTCCGTTAATAACACTTCTGAGGAGTGATCATTGGGGGTTGTGTGAAGACACAACTGTCTTATACAGGCCAAAAATATCTACCTCTCTAAGGATAAAGATTTGTGAATATTTATAACTCTGGATGTGTGTGTGTGTGTGTGTGTGTGTGTGTGTGTGTGTGTGTGTACACACACGTATGCATGTTTCGTTTCTATTCCCTATATAAGTTTTCTATCTAAAACTTGATTCCTTCTCCATCCATTACCTGCCGTGGCGCATCTAATTTGTCTGCCCTATTTGGGGCTGCACAGCTCTTCTTTACAGCCAACTAGGGAGCTGTTCCTTCTGCCAACGCCGCCGTCAGTCCGAGCGCTGAAGAAATGCTGAGGGCGATCAGGCAGCGAAAGAGTACGGAAAACGCACCCCTCCTGCTCGTCTTTTCCACCGCGGAACTCCCCAGTCATCCCGGGCCCCCGTCTCCAAACATCGTGCAAAGTTGGCCCAGAAATTAGGCGCAGGGACCAGCGAGCTGAAGCGGATGGCAGGATGCTGCAGCGGCGCGTCCCGCAGCCTCGAGAGCCTCCCACCGTCTCCGCAGCAGCTGTCACCTCCCCGCCCGTCCGCCCCGCGCGTCCCTCGCCTCCCGGGCGGCCCCGCGCCGACCGCTCCGAGCAGCGGCGCTAACAGCTCCTGCTCACAAGTCGCTTCTCCCAACTCCCTATCTTTTCCCCAGCCCGCCTGTCGCCTCCTCCACCTCCCCCATTCCACTGCAGCGGGGGAAGCGGTTTGGCGCTCCTAAGGACTCCCCGCCACTCTACCCGCACAGGCTGCTGTTGCTGCTGAATCTTCCGCGCCACAGCCCACAACCCAGACCGCGGACTTCCCCGGCCAGACATTGGGGACCCGCGCCTGAGCATCCCCGGGACGTGCACTTGGTGCGCAGGCGGGGGGCGGGAGGAAAGGGGAGGGGAGTTCCTGATTCCCTAGCGGACCCAGGAAGTTGTCCTTAAAAATAAATCTCGCAGGCCCGCGGTTGAGCAGTCACCTCGTCAGAGCAGCATGTGGACTGGCTCGCCGGGTCCCCTAAGTGCTCTGTGGCTGCCGCAGCCGTCAGAGCAGCTGCTGCCCGCAGCAGCAGCCCCGCGCGGGGCGAAGAGCAGGCACGCGCGGCCGCCGAGTCCCCTGCTTACTCTTGGCCGCTTCTTCTCAGGAGGTGGCAGTCACTGTTGCTGCTGAGAACCCAGCCCGCATTTCCACGGCTGGTCGCCTGGTGAGGAGCTGAGACTCTGCACCTCCCGCTCGGACACACATGGCTTGTTACCTGGTCATCAGTTCGAGACATCTCCGCAATGGGCACTACAGGGGCATTAAAGGAGTCTTCAGAGGGCCCCTCTGCAAGAACGGATCTCCTTCTCTGGTAACCTGCGCGCGCGCGCTCACACACACACACACACACACACACACACACACACACACACGCACACACACACTCGCGTTCAAAATCAATATAAACAAAAAGAGATATTGTCTTGGTACCTTGAGTGGGTGGTGGATATCTACCTTACCCATAGGTATATTGTGTCTGTGTACAGTTTATTGACAGACTACTACACAGTGAGGGGTGTGTGTTTACATGTGTATTTTCGACACAGTCATTAGCATCTATAGTGCTATAGATGCAAATATTTACTGAATATAGTTAACTGGGGGGCTGTGAAGGTAGCTTGTCTGTGCTATATCAAGTTATGAATCTGCTGATTTGGGCAGTCTAGAAAGTTTGACTGGCACTTTATAGCCATGCTTGGTGAAGTCAGCAGTTAGAATTAGTTTAATAATGCTGCTGTTACTTTATGAGAAAATAAACTCTTTAAAGATTTTGCATAAGCATACTGGCAAAAGGAAAGGTGTTGGATGCTGAAACTTGATTAAATCTAATGCTCAACTCTGTAGGTTCTTTAAGGAGAGCCAGAGTTCTTTGTGGAAATACGAATTGGATAGTTTGCTGTAACATATACAAATATATTTACATGCAGCTTGAGTGGTTGCTATTTAATTTAGTATCTATGCAATTTAGTTTACTTTTTGATTTATTCAGATATTTTTTTGTAAAATAATTTTTACCAGAATCTATGACTTTAATATATTATTAATTCTCTTTTTAGTATATACTATATATACACTAATATTTTAAGGATTCGAATGTATTTCAAGGAAAATATATGTGACATGATATATTAAAAAAGTTTTGGATTATTAGTGACTAAGTGTTTAAACTTAAAGAACAATGCCAGTTTAATGTAAAAACCAGTATTTTACATCCTCATGATATAAAGAAGGAAAACTTAAGTTGCCTGATTTTTATTTATGTTTTAGTACTTTATGTAATGGTTTAATGTTTTATTAGCATGAGTTATTCAAAAGTAATATATTATAAAAACCTTTGATTAAGTGCTATATGATTTGCATGATAAATCTACAATCAGAAAGTGCAAGTACCCAGAGATATCACCAGGACTCCTAATTATGACAAACTGTTGCCTCACATGATTTCATTCACTGTAAGACATATGTGTTGCAATGCCCCACTCCCAAATGCTGTATGGTATGGAATTAGAAGTGTTAAATGAAATATACTGTTTGTGTTGGCACGTACAGTTAAATTCATAGGGTTAGAAGGGTCTTGGAGAGTATTAGTTAAATAAAGCCCACATGCAATCTTTTGAGCAGCTGGTCTGAATCCTTCTTATTTTTAAAGATTTTTAGGAATGGAGTTCCCACAGTCTCAGCAAACCACCTTAATGTTTAACAACCCACAATGTCAGAATCATCCTCATAACAAACTTAAATTCTTTAAATTCTTTTTAAAGCTCATTTCATCTTGAAAACCTAGAATGTTTCACCTTGCTCAAGGTATGATTTTTCAACCTTAGTAATCTCTGTGGCTATCTTCCAAAACTCTTAGATTATGGAAATCTGAATTAAATAGTGTGTTATAGCATATATGCCTTAATAATTCACAGGGTTAAAGGGTAATTACTTCATAGTTTCTACATTGTTTAGTTTTATTTAAATTGGTTAGAATAGGATACTAATTTTCCAAACTCTAAAGGGTTTGCAAAGAGAATTTCTGTCACGTGGACAAAAAGTGTCATTCCTCACCAGCTATGGTCACTCATCCCCTGGGAGCCTGACTGACCCACAAGGACTGGACATGTGAATATGGACATGAGTAGACAGGCTGTAATCCCCATGGCTCTACTGGCTGACCAAGTGCTGACACCCACAGTCACTCACTATTCTTATTCGCTCTTGGACTGTTTTTTACTGAAATACTAATTCATTTACTTTATTTAGGCGCTATACTTTGACTCACTGGATTGTTCTCTCCAATATTTACACATTCAAGTTAAATTACATTTGCATTATTTAACACTACCGATATTAGTCTACATGTGCACTTCCTAAACCTGATTTATTTTCTTCTTTTACATTTTACTATGGCATTTGAATGACTTTTTCAAGGTTTGAATAGTTTCTCACATGAACTGGGCAGCATGTGAAAAATTCATGTTCGTTCATTCTCTGTCATAAACAGGTTGTTAAACAAGTCAGAATTGCCTTCACATTATATAATACTTGGTCTTTCTCCCTGGAATAAATTGGCCACTATTTTCTAGACCCTAGAACCTTGAACGTTTAAATGATAGTCTCTTGGTCTAGATGAGTTTGTTTGCCTTCTTTACTAATGAGTTGTGAAGCATAAAACTAAAAACTCTGGTTATACATCATATATTTTTTATATTCAGAAACATATACCCCCTGGTTACTTTCAGGTTAACATACATTTATTGATTTTTTCATCATCATAAATGTAAAAGTCACAGATCCACAAGATACATTTATTTTTTTTCTTAAAACACATGGCAAATCTCATAATTCCTTTTCCCCCCCAAATTTGATGCCCAGAATAGGTTCAGATAGGTTTCTATAATAATGACTTTAATTATTTTCATACACTGAGACTCAGTTTGTATGAGACTATGGATTGGGATATCATTAGTTAATTTAACCCACTCTTACTAAGGTCTACAATACTTCAACTTTGGTTCTTACTCTTCTATTCCAAGTGTCCCTTCTTCCTATTTTAACCCATATTTTTCTGATTTAATAGAGCTGTTTAAAAGTAGCACATAACACAATTATTGAATGAGACTATATTGTAACTTTATTATAGAAAGCTATGATTTCTTTTTGAAGTAATAAGAATTTCTTCTTTTGGAGTTTTGATATACATACGCCTAATATGAATTTAACATGTTAATGTCTTATAGATATAATTCTTCAGTTAGACATGTGCAAATCACATGTTTATAGAATCTAAACACGTGATATTAAACTGACAATACAAAAGGGAATGACTATATTTATATACATTTTTATTTCAAAGGATTTCATTTAGGAAACATTGAATCGTTATATAGAATTCTTGTAATAAATACTTAATGGAATACTTGAGAAACAAATAAAGCATTTTACCCCAAAACAATTTTCACTGATTACCAAATATAAAATCCTAGAGTGAAATTCAGCTCTTGTCTTCAAAGTAAAAGCATGCAAATGTCTTATCTGCTGCATCTTTCTTCTTTTAAGAGGCAGTATGAAAAAATAACATACTGCTTTTCATCCTAATTAGAATGTGAATAATTGATTTGAAATAGTTTATTACTTTAAATCTAGAAATAGATTAAAGGAAAGAAAACTGACAAGTATTGCATAGTGTTTAATGATAAAAGTCTCTAATTTTTAAAATAAATTTGTTTGCTGCCACATTTTAGGATATTTATTCCCCATCCTATCAGAACTCTAAAATAATATTATTGAATGATGACTTTAAAAATCAGTGTGAGATAGACACACACATACATGCAGATATTGATACACACATTGTTATCCATGCTCAGGAGTAAGAAGTTACCTATATATTACTTTATAGAAACTTTTACCATCCACTATGTTAATGTAAAACTTTGTTACAATGATTTAAGTATTCATTAAGAAAACAGTCAATAGGCAAATTCATTTCTTTGTGAACTTCTAAGTTCTTCTATCACCATGTTTGAATTCAGTAGAACAAGTAACATCTTTTATGTAGTGTCAAAAATATATTTGAATAGATTCTTAGTTATTTTAGGTAATGCAAAATGTCTCGAATTTAGATTCAAGCATGGTTTGTTATAGTTTACTTACTCTGTATGTGGTTACTAGTAAGCTTGTCATTTAGGATATTTTATTGATTAAATGTTAATAATCTTTTTTGTATATTTTATCGGTGGTACATGTTAAGCTTATTACTACTCTTTTGAAACTTACATAAGAGTGATACTTTTTAAGAAGTGATTATTCTTGAAAGCACCATACTTAGTTATCTAGGAATGTCTGTTTCTTTAAATGCCTATTGTCTTCACTTGAAACATTGGATGTGAAGGAAATTCTTGAGATTTTCATCTGAGTAACAGATGAGGATCCTAGGATTTGTTGTTGTTATTTTGTTTTGTTTAGTGATTTTATCCTAAATTATATATCTAAATAAATTGCCTAATAGAAGGAGGTGGCATATAAACAAACAAGTATTTCAAGTGGACTAAATATCCTATAAAGCTGCCTTTTAAAAATTACAAATGCATATGTATAAATGAAAGAAGTTTTAGAAAAGATTATCTTGAGGGTACATTTATTCAGACAACTCCTTAAAGAAGAAAATAAATGAGTGCAGATACAACTTTGTTCTTTTTTTCCAATGTCTATAGTCTTCAATAGTATGTATTTTCATTATGCTTAATGAGTACATGTTAAACACATTCAAAAATGCTCTCAAAATGATGCACTTTTCATGTGCCAAAAATAATTATGAAGATATGCTCTCCCGTAGAGAAGTCACCTGCCTCCTCTTCTTGAATTTATGAATACATAATACTTCCTTTCATATTCAAACTTTTAGATAATTTCAATAAAGCAGACTCAGTTACAATTCTTATAATACATGTTTTCTTTGTTATTTTAAATATTGTATTAAGCAACCTCCTTTCTTCTCATTGCTTTTTCAACCAACTAACTGGGTTCAGAAACTTGTAATTTGCATATATGCTTTTGAAAATAAGTATCAACTTCTTAGGACATAAATTTGTGTTTATCTGACTTCAGAAAGCTTTCATGGTAAGAAGAATCAAATGAGTATTTGAGTACATTGTGACTTTATTAATTATGCTACATTTATTTCATAACTAAAATTTGATGATCAAAGTCTTTGTTTCTTTTAGACATACAATTAAGATAAACTTTATTTTAGGTTTCCACATAATAATTTGGAAACAAAACAAAAATAAAATATACAGGCACTCTGTGTAGGCTAAATGGGGG